TCATTTTGATTAGACACATCTTTTCAGTGAAGTTCAAAGATCAAGGATATTAAAAATGCAAAATTACACAACAAGTCTACCCCTTTTATTTCATAAAACAATGACTTTCATGTACATAACATTTAAACGTGACTTAAATATACATAAGGACTAAGTAGGAAAACACACTGAGCATATTTCGTTCCACGTTCCACACAATGCATCAAATACGAGTATATCCCGCTTAAGTAGCCACAAAGGGCATGAAAAGAAAAGATAATGATTAACAGCTTACTGCATCAGCGGCTTTCGCTAATATGCTGCAATCGAGGCCAATTATTGCACTGTAGTGACTTATATTCAGAGGTCGGAGTAGGTAGAGTGACTTTATGAAGATGCATTGCATGCATGCATTGAAATTGCATCACGGTGTCTAAATATGCATGTCTTTTTCCGGAACATTATGTTATTTTCGTTATTTACTTGTATTAAAACCTATTATTACTGTAGAACTAAATGAACTACTACTGCAAATGGATTTCACTTTTTGGTTACTCCCAGACATTCTCATAGAATGTCATCACATCACATCACATCAACAGCCTTTGATAGTCCACTGCTGGACATAGGCCTCTCCTTAGAAAGGAGGTTTTGACCTAGTATATAGGTCCATAGAATGTATCAGGTTGTTTTGACGCTTTGGTGAGTTGTGGTGTGCAAACAAGTAAAGATTTATACATACTTTATTCCAGAAAATATGTTTCTCAAGACGAAATACTGCACATATAGCCAACTTGTGAAGTGAATACATGACCGGTTGTTACAAAACTTTCAAATTAGTTTTTATAGCGCACCTTAAGAGTACGGGCTCACGTAATTCTTAGATTACTGAAAAAACATGTCATTCGGGATACTCTGCTGTCGTCGCAATCGGAGCATGTACAAAGTATACGAAAAAGAGAAAAAATACCCTTTTTGCAAAGTATACCTATTACTCTTAATTGTGCCTAGTACTAATGGAATTTTGTTAAACTCTCACTTGAAGTATTTAAACACCACAGATTTATTTGTATACGATGCCAGTCACTTATTCCCGGGCGGTATTATTATCATCTCATTTTTTGGTCCGATATTAACATATACGTTCGAGATCATTCGTCCTAAATCAATCTAGCTACTCCGAAATATGCTTATATTACAGAATATAGCAAAAGCCGGCCTCAATATAGCGTCGTATATAATCGTGTCTGCGCTAAATTGAGGCATGAAAGATGTGTTCGGTGTGTTTTGGGACTATTGCTTTACACAAGTTTGGATTTTGCTATTATTATCTTTCATTTATCTTTCTATTCTTTATCTTGCATTTGAGCAGTTTGATTTTTAACTTTATCAACAAAGTGATTAGTAGAAATTAAATTGCATACATAACGGCCTTATTTTCTAATATATGGATGCAATCTAACATCAACTGCTAGCACCTACGATTTTAAATGACCACCAACTACTGAATTACTATTTGAAATAGTTTTTGTCTTCCTTACACATCGGTGGGCATAGGCAATCACGAAGCAAAGCGATAACGAAGGCCTTCAATCGTATGTGGTAAAGTCAGTCTCAAAAAGTGTATTCGTGAACAAAGTTGAACCATAATGTTCTTTTTTTTTTGTTTGTTGTTCATTTTGCCAAAATATTGATATTAATTATAGTGAAAATTTTTATTTATATATAAATATACAGGGTTACTAGTTAAGTCAACCTCGATACTATAGGGAGTTGTAGTAGCTACTATAACATGAACGAGGAAAATGTTCCGCCTGTCACGGATTCGGAGGTAAGGGCGGCTGTTCTACGGATCCGCTCCAAGAATACCGCCTACGGGCCAAACGGGATACCTGCCCGAGTGCTGACCCGATCTCTCCACCACATGTCGGACAGCCTAAAGGAGGTGCTTGACGCTATCTTGGCGTCCGAACGTTTGTCTGAGTTCTAGAAGACCGGGCAGCTATTGTTGTTAAGAAAGCCAGGCCGGCCTGCCGATTCGGTCGCGGCCTACAGGCCCATAGTGTTGCTGGACGGCGGTGAGCTGTAGCGGCATGCTGTTGGCGGTGTCATTGGACATCGTCAACGCATTCAATAGTCTGCCATTCAGCTGCATTAGGGAAGTGCTCGTGTCTGAAAGCTTTTGAAATGAGGTTCCCATTTTAATGTAAAGTCTAAAGCTATTTTCAGGAAGACAACCCGATTGACCAATTCTATTTCTTCATCTTAATCGAATTGTCAACAAGAACAGTACTACTATATATATATAGTGGGATATCATGACATAAGTTGTATAATTAATGCCGCCAAAATCGTACATATCATTCACGACAATTTTTGAAGAAAATATATACTTGTGTAACAAAGAAAACGATAAGAATGAATTAAACATTAACCAAATTAATTAATTAATTAAACCGGTAAATGACCGGTTAACCTTGGTTACTGACTAATAGATGAAAAATCTAAATACTTTATCGCACTCGTCTAACTGCATAAATGATTTGGCAAGCTGTGTAGTTTTTCGTCACTAAATAATGAATTAAGAAAGAATGTACTTTGCACAGTTCTAAACCTCACGTATACCTGAAATTAGCAAGTAACTGTGAAAACAGTATGTTGTTACTGTAATAATAATATAATAACATATCTCACACACTCACACATGGCCGTCTGATCCCAAACTAGGCAGAGCCTGTACTATGGTAACCAGACCGCTGATAAACATACTTCTATATTTCTAAATACATACATATTATAGATAAATTACACCCAGACACAGAACAAATGACCGTGCTCATCACACAATATTTGTCCTGGGTGGGAATCGACCCACGACCTCCGGTTTAGCAGTCATGGTCACTAACCACTAGACCAACAGGCCCGTCTATAGTTATACAATAACTTGGCAAAATGAATGTACACATTTTAATGTTCTCGTATACTTCTTTTTGAGGTTGACTTTACAAAGCATTTTTCTCAAAGCTGCCTTTCCATAGACTTCCCGACAATTTTAGATCTGGTTCAACAGTTTTCTTGCACGTAGAAGCATCAACATCCAAACGAAGTGAAATTATCTTAAAATTCCTTGAATTAAAATGTCAATTTGGCAAAAAACGTTTTTGTTTATTGCATGTATAAGAAATTTTAAGCAATTGTTGTTCAAAATATTTTGGCAATTTCTAACAACGTAAGGAGTTTATAAATGCTTTATTACATATTATTATAGAACTAAAACAAAAGATATTACTTTTCAAAATTTGATTTGTAATAATTGTACATATCAAAATAAGTATAACTAAGGTGTAACTAGAAACCAAAACAACTTCATTATAAAAGAAGGAAGGATAGGTATTTTAATCTCAGTCTTATATTTTATATTTTCGTCGAAGGGTTAAATTCGTATAGATAACATTTATTTTAAAGTAAACAGCTTTACGAACTTTCTATACTTATTTCGAAACTACTGCTATTTTACCGTGGGAGAGCCATGTTAACACACAGAGGCCGTCGGAGTGATTTCACAGGAAACCAGTGTTAAGTAATTCCTTCGTCGTTTTTCACATAATGTGTGACGTTACCGGACCCTTTCCTCGTTATTCTGCGGACAGGAGGGGAGGGGAGAAACACAAAGAGCGTTAACACACTTGAGTTCACTACCATCACTTATAATTAGGTGACCCGTCTGCTCTTTATATGCAACGTTAATAATTACACAAATATAATAGAAACTTTAACAGATAACGTAGATATCAAACACTCACATCTAAGAGCCAACGACATCGGTTGTCGTTATAACAAGTGTCATTTTCAAAATGGGTATATTCAATTGTAAATATTTCAAAAGTTAGATTAAATTTATTATTAATTTATTATCAAATGTTATTAAAGTTGGGAGTTGAAAAATTGGTTGTTAGTAGAGAAAATTGCAACTTGCCCTTTGTTCGAACACAATGACCGTCTTCACCATAATAATAGGTCTTTACCTATGAAGTTCGAGATTTTTAAATCCAGCATTTTCAGATTTAATGATCTGTATATTTGAGCGCAAATTGAAAATATTCAGTTATTTATTTAAGATAGTGTTTTGTTTTTGTGCATTGCATCGCTCACACGTCACGACACACCATCGCAAAGCTCCAAGAGCTAAAAGCTTCAAGCTCCGAGAAGAATTCATCGTCCTGCCCCAACAGAATCTACATTATTCAAAATTTTGTAAAAAATTTTAAGTGGGAGAAAATTCAACACCCGAGAGGTAGTCCAAGACGCTTTCGCTTACTTTATCGCATCCCATCCAGCAGACTTCTGCAGTAAAGGGATAAATAAACTGCTATCAATATGGCAAAATTGTATAATAATTTAGGCGAGCACTTTGTTTACCTAAAATAAAAAAGTAACCAAAATTTATATATTGTAAAATTTTCATACAAATCTCCAACTTCATATGTCAAGAACTAATATATAAAATCAGAATCTCTTTCTTCGATAGATAAGGAACGAAGTATATTTATATACAAATATATAAAGCTCGATAGTAATTTATGAATATTTTGTGTCGGTTGATAACGACACATATTTCGAATAAAGTGAAATCCTTTTGGTACATTATAATTAGGACATCAACATGTCAACACGCTTACATGTCTCTTAACAGTACTTCATAATCCACTACCGTCATTAAACCTACCTAGTTTACTTGCAAACAAAACATTATACTGTAGTTGCAGTTAACGTGTTTGTTATCTACTCGGAATGTAATAATAAAATTAGTTTAGCGGCTGGCGGGCGGTGGACGTGCGAGGCAGTGCTGTTTTCTTTTAACCTACGCACTACAAACTTCATTATTTTTGATACAAAAACCTTATGATGATAAGGGTTTTGTACTGATTTTGTCACTACTATTACAAAATAAATATACATTATATCCCTATTTACAGTTTCACATAATAAAAATCTGTTGCACAAAAACTACATTATTCTACCTATCCGTATTCTTCATCACGTTGTATTGTCCTTAATTTAATTTCTTTTAGGTATTTTTCCGGTTCGTCACTTATAAAGTCTTTACTTTCTTCTGGTGTTATTGCATCTGGACTAACAGTAATCGTTTCAGTTGCTAATGGATAGGTGCAGCATACTGTACAAACAGGATTAGATATTTCATGTGCAACACATAGCTGAGTTTCTAAATAGTTATTCCTGGTATTTTTGAATTCATTTTTAAGAACGTGCTGTTTATCAGTTGAATAATTTCTATAGGCTCGCACAGGTGTGCCTAAACTAGTTTTTCCACTGCGACAATCGTATATAGTTGGGATGGTTCCCTCCCCGCTAGCTTGTTTTTTGAACTTTTGGCATAGGTTTGAGTGACGTCGCATTGAATTCTTCAATGAATTACCTGCAAATAAAAATAACATTTTGGTGTAGATAGTGTTTGCATATTTTGAGGTCAAACTAGTAGTTCATTTATTTATTATGAGTCGAGGGTAGTTCTTTGTTACTGTTTCCATGACTTGTGATTGTTTATAGATTTAATTTAAAATAGATAAGCAAATTCTTATTTCATATCTGGATTTATAACAAACAAAAAGGGTTGTTTAGTTATTTCGTGTAACTAATAATTAGTATAAACATTTTTCTAAAAGTTGCTTTACAACAATATTCACCTCGCTCGTGTAATTCCTATGCATTTGATTAATTTTATCCAAACAAAAGTATTCAGATTCTATTTAAAACGCAACAACCCGCGTATGTGAATAACGCCTTCTTGTGTTGGACTTGGTGGAAGCAAGAGCTCTTGTGAGTACTATTATTGTTACTTACGTTAGTTTATATATATTATCAAGATTACCTGATAATATAGAATAAGTAACGTATGTAAAGGGTGTAAGGGACTTCGTAACGAATACTAAAATAGTGTATTCAGACCATCATTCTGAGTCGAAAATCATTGGAATTTTCTGCAGGAAAATTGCGACGTCCTTTACACCCTGTATACCGCTGACTAACATACATACTCGTAAGTGCCACCAGACCGATAGACATTTTTAATTTATTTACAATATAATGCATTTATATATTTATAATATAATGCAATTTAAAAAAATTCGCTGAACTTTATACATATTATAGTCACTTCATGAATTAAAAGTACTCAGAACTATCCTTGTCGTTTCTTTTTACACGCTGATCCCTTTCAGTCTAGGACTAAGTTTCTTAAACTCCCAAAGTGCAATAGTTAATAGCTTTCCATTGAGACACAAATTACAGTTTGCAAATGTGTGTGTGTTTAATGCCATACAATTGCGATATAGGTATGTACATACATGCCTGTATCACACCTGTATGTTAAGTTATTTTCTTTTCTTTGTGTCTAAAATAAATGTAGCGTTTGTGTTCTACCAAAAACTGACGATTCGTGAAGAATATTTCTCTCAATGTTACTACCTTACAGTTGTCGTAAAGATAAAGGACGGAGTGTTTTATAGGTTCAGATGATGACATTCAAACCTATAAAATACTCCACAAGGTTATGAAATCTTATACACGGCTTAAAATGTTTGTTTTTCTGTGCATTGTTATTATAAATATATTTAATATTTGTATAATTTACATTTTAGTTTTTTCAAAAGAGTCTTCAGCTCTTTAAAGTAGGTACATAAGCTAGATTTTATTTAGCTGTTTTACATAAATATTTAATTTAGCATCCATACTATAAATAGCGCGCGCTTGCATTATTTTAATGATGAATATAGGCGGGCAACACAATAGGTTTTACGAGCACCTAAAAATTGGAGCGACGAGGACATGGGGTTAACCGCTTGAATAGCGTTTATTTGGAACCTATTTAACCTAATATTTAGTTGGTACATAACAATATTTGTGAATTGCATCAGATATGGCAACGCGAAAGCAAAACCTTTAATTGTATTAATTACAATGTTTGATTTTTCCCGGTTTTAAAGGTGTTAAGTGGCGTGCAATAGGAGAGACCTATGTTCAGCAGTGGACTGTGATAGGCTGATGATGATGAAAGGCGTTAAAAATATTATTAAATTGTTTAAATAATAACAAAAGCATAAAAGACATAAAACATTAAACAAGGTATAAGACGTTAAACAGAAAGAATATTGACGACAACATCATTGCTGATCTGCGAAATTTTAATAGTTATGGGAGGGTCGTTGTCTGCCCGGTTTGGGCGTTGCAGCCTCAGATCGTCACTGCAGTCATCGGAGGAGATCTCTCGCTACCGGCCGTCATACGCTCCATGGCCGGTAGTGATAGTTGTTTTACCGCGGTCGCATCAGAAGGATGCGACCGCGATGACCTCCACTCGGACCCAATTCACCGCCGGCGAACCGGGCGTCGGAAACGCGCTCATAACGGCCACCCCGCCGGGGTTCGCGGTGGGGTGGCCGTGACTGGTGTAACGGTCCGAGGGGGTTTCCACACGTAAAAAATGGGTTGTAAGACGTATAGTTAGAATTTAAATATTAACTCATTTAAAGTATTTGGACTTGAGTATTACGTTTTTTGGTAGTTAGATTAAATTCCAGCGAAGGTAATTAAAGTAAAATAACAAATACATAGCTGGGGACAAAATTATATTGTTTCATTATTTTAGTTATGACAATCCTAAACATAGTGACATAGATAGTTTCTTTACAAGTGCCATATTCAATTCGGCTTAAGTGTATATTAACAAGCTTGCTTAGTATTGTAATAAAATAGTTTTGATATATACCATAACCGGTTTCAAATTACACTGCAGGTGAACAAAATATCAACATACACGTGTAGCAAAAAAAATAAATAACCTGAGTTGACAGAACTGGTTGTAGGATTACGTGGGAAAGCCATTGCGGTGTAGGAGCATCGCTTTCCAACGGCCTGCTCCCTTGATCTGCAGCACCACAGCGTTGTCTTCTGAAACTTTTATTACTTATTAATTCCATTAACATGAAACAAAAAATGTTGCACATAACGTTAAAAATTATGAGGTCATTTAATTCGATTCGTATTTGTTTTATTTTACAGAGAAAACATCTTTTAATTATAACTTGGATAGCTGTAACTTGACCCTATAGCTTCTAAGCTATCGTTGATGCTTTCATAGAACTTTTTCAATTGGTTAATAAGTGGGTAAAGATCTTACTTATATTTTATTCCATATATTTCAGGTTTTCATCTTAGTTAATAGTTACTGTAGAAGTTATATGTGCTTACATGTTAAACTATAAGGAAAATATGACTGTTAGTTTTTAAGCATTACCTAATCGTAGATTATGAATATCATAAATACGAAAAAAACACTGTTATAAAATGTAAGTAGTTTTTAAATTTAATCAAGATAACATAAGTAGATCTTAGGATTCATTGTCTTCAGTTGAGTCTTATTTATAGAATGTGATAGTACGGCTTGATAGACAATAGATTCGAGTAATCTTCTAACGCTCTGTCATGAAGGAAGCTGGAGTGTATTACTGTTAGAGGCGTTGTCCTCAATCTTTTCTAAAACTGTCATTAGCGAACGTGAACCCTTGTTCTTTGTGGTGCCTCAGGGTAGTGCCCTAGCACCTACCCTGTTTTTGATATACATCAACGTTTACATCAACCTTTGCAAATTGGCTATAAGTTTTAATTTATTTTGAACTATAATTTTGAACATTTATCCCACTACTATATGAGAATGTAAATCACGAGTTACTGAATGGCTTAACTTACTAAGACACTGAAGACTTAATCGCATCTATTTTATAATGCCACACACACGCACACACACACACACACACACTTTCAAATACTCAATGTTATGCTCCACATGCTTAGTTTTAAGAGTGGTGAAGTGGTAGATAGTATTGGAACGTTTGCATCACATCCGAAGGTGGGCATTAGTCAGAGCGCCACAGTGTTTCATTAATGCAGTCATTATCCAACACATTTCATTAATTGTAATCTGCTGTCAGTTGTAAATAAAGAATTTATTATTATTTTTCTAAAAACTGGCATGTGCATTTAAATAATTAGAAATCCCGTGTTAGCTCTTATGCGTCTTTTAGAAATCTCGTTACTCAGCAGGACATGATATTCTAAAAATGGTATATTACTCACTCTGCCACTATATCCGTTTGGGGAGGTGTAACGGGAAAAAAGAGCATTATTAAAATTCATGACCTGTACCTAAGCCTTTTAAATATAAACTGCTTGCTTAGAAGTTAATATGGGATTCCCATGGCTAGGCAAGAGTATACACTTTTGAAGTGTGCTAAGTAATGATAAATCAAAAAGTCATGGTAGAAACTTTGCCCCTGGCATTGTGTGTTCAATACCGTTTGTCTGTTACATTTTAAGGAGTTGGATTCCGACTATTGACTATTGACGTTATAATAGTGGTTAAAGAAATAGTTTAACTACTTTTGAAATATTCATCAAAGTATTGATTCTCGGTTTTTCGAGGATTCGAAGATTCAACATGCTGTCTACGCTTCATCGGCATCATCCACACAGTTCAGGGAATGACAATATTGGACAATTAAGGATTCTTTATTAAGAAAGACAATATATAACAGCATAACATTGCAAAAGTTACTAGAGTCCAAGCAAATAAGAAAACGGTTCATCAAATCCTTGCAGAATAATCATCATTAAGTTAATCTCAGATCCACTTATAAATGTGTATCCACTTATAATGAGGTTAAGGCTCAGCGTGTCCTAGTATTGTCATTTACAATTTGACGTAAATGAACAATATGCTAAATTGTAATGAATATATAAACAAAGGAAATCTCTCTTTTTTTTTCTTTATCGTTATCTCATTTTTTTAAATGTGAATTCACATCAACAATATAATAATAAATTTCTATCAATATTTACCTTGAATGCCTCTCTAAATTTATTCGACATTATATGGTAGAATATTGGGTTGATGCATGTAGAAATGTAGTAAAACACGCCTGAAGTATACGTTAAGAAATAGTACACGGATAGCAGAATTGGTGACTTCGCTAGGTGATTTTCATTGGTACCGTAGATTGCCACGAGCCGTTGAGCGTGAAACGGGGCCCAGCAGATAAAAAAAGCTACCACAACTGCAACTGTAATAAAATAAAAGTGAATTAAAAGTTGTCCTGGAATGAATTTCTAAAAATAAATATCTTATATAATATTAGTGGGAGAAAAAATTGAGAAAATGATACGAATTTACTAGAGCTGATCATTTGACCATTGGCTATAGTAGTTGTATACATGTGCCATACATAACCGAAGTATGTGTATGTACATTGTACATACTTCGGTTAGTCAAGCAAACGGTAGAACAGGCGACAAATAACATGCTGTAACACTTGTTATGATTGCCGTAGTATTTTAATGATTTTACTTAAACAGAAAATTGTAATACAGATTGTAAATTGCATTTGAATAACAGTTATGTCAGTCAGTCGGTTAAATGTGAGAACTAACCTGGTCAGTCAGCAATTCACTTTGAAATTGTTTTAGGATACTTAATTGTAAATGAACACTAAATAAATCAGCCAACAATTGTGAAACCTTTCTCGTCTCAGGGTTAAGGTAGTTTTTACAAGGAACCCTTACAGTATCCCTATTTTTAATTGGCTGTTTGTCCACCTGTCCTGTTCAAGAAGGTAAGGACAGCCTCATCAGCAGCCTTTGAGTCCGCTACTTTACATAGGCGTCTCCTTAGAAATTAGGTTTTGGCCTTCTATCGTATACCAGAGGGGTTCGTATAGGGTTTGTTTCAAGTTTTCCTTCTCTTTGCAGTGCTATTGTTCTACTTAGTTTGCTCCCTTAGTCAGCTCGTACGACACCCACGGGATCAATAAGGCTGGTGACACTCTGTATTCATAATTCGTCGCCACACGGACTCCGTCCTCAGCTTAATCAAGCTTTTTCTTGTTTAATTTATGCGGTGAGTTCTATCTTTGGAAAGGTCATTGTGTAGATACTATGTTTTTACTCAGTCTAAGCCACAAATAATCCTAATATTCAGTGCGAGTCGGACTCGCCCAAAGAAGGTTCCGTACAAATTTGTAGGTACATATTATTAACAGGTGAGGAATCGGGTCTCGCAGTATATGTATATTTACTTATTATATACTTAGTATATATTATTGGGTTTTATAAGTAAAATTGTACCATGATGATTGATTACATTACATACGGTTGTACCTAAATAATTTTGTTAGCTTATTCGATAGTTTATTTGTATTATATAATTATGTTTAAAGATTAATTCAAACAATGTATTAAGTAATGATTTACAATAAACGTTAGTCTAAAAACACATTTGTAAATTCTCACCTAGCATCTTCACGACTCTCCTCGTTGACTGGCTATGTTTTCGGCGTATTTTATGTGTTTGTCTCACTTTCCTTTCAAAATATTTTTGGTTTTGCTCTTCACTTATACTCGTTTCTCTCAATTTCAATCCGATCAAGGAATACAAGACAGTAATTAACACCATTGGCGCAAAAAATACAAAAAATGTTGATATTTCAAAAGAATGTTCAATGATAACTCGTGTTTGTAGACACATTACGACTCCTTTATTTTCTCTAATTCCAAATTGAAGAGCTTGCGGAAGCGCTAGACCAAGCGCCACTACCCACAATAGTATCACATGTTTCGTAGCTCGTGACAGCTTTGACATTTTATGCGAAACAAATGGGTGACAAATAGCTAAATATCTTTCTACAGTAAACAAAGTTATTGTTAAAATACTAGCATTTGTCGATGTTTCAGCAGCTAATCCTCTTATAACACAAAAGGTATGTCCAAAAACATACGGCCACTTGGACCAGATAGAATACATCTCTTGAGGCATTCCACTTACTAGTAAGAGGAGATCTGATATCGCTAAACTAAATAAATAGTAATTTGTTGCTGTATGCATACTCTTGTTTCGTACTATAACTAAGCATGTAAAGATGTTACCTAGTAACCCGGTTATAAATATTAAGGAATATATAATTGTTATCGGTATCACTATTAATAGCGAGTCTCTCTGTGGCCCAAAAATCTTAGTCGGATCCACTGGGAGTGAACCATTTCCATCTGTTGAGTTTTCTACACTACTTAGGTTCATTATGATACTTGTTATTAGATCCAATTGTGTTGGTCCGTATTTATGTCTTATTTCTTCACAACATCCTCCATCTGAAAACAAATAAAGAAGCACTTAAAAGATGCGTAGTTGAGAATGAAATGTAAACACTGATACGATACCAAATTATTAACTAACTATCATTATATAAATTCTCGTTTTAGAATTCTTAACTCTATTAGTGAAAATAAAAATATTGTGTTCTTATTTAAATGCTGATATAATAAAATGTAAATTTCATGGCTAGCCTTGATAATCAAAAACATAATAATTATGACTAGAAATCTTCTGGTCGTTAAATTTAGACGGTTTTGAATATCTAAGGGTTTAAGCTGAAAACCAGCGCTTGGTAATCCATGTGAAGTCCAAGCATAAGCTGACGCTTAGACCTTTTGGTTTCGGTATTATAGTTTTCTGTATATTTCTACAAGAGTGAAATCAATAAACTGGTATTCTATTCTATTCTATCTATTTTTATTTCATTAAATTGTTTCGGTCCGATGTCTTCATAACAGCAGTTCCCAGATTGCTTCTATTTCAGGCGCAGAGTGGCACACCGTGTGGATTTAGTGGGTCCGATTCCGGCACACCACCCCGCCGCAAACCGGTAGGGTGACGGCCCGAGGGGGCCTCCACACGTAAAAAGAAAGAACAACTATACATGTCACTACCCAACAGAGGATGAGATGTTTAGTTACGACGACTATGATTCTCAATGAAAAATTCGTGAAAGCACCGACCAACCAGTATAAATTCATTGTATAGCTTATTTCCAAATTGATTAATGAAGACTACTTTTAATGTGGCTCAACATAAAAAGTATTGTATATTCTTGAATATCAACAGTACTGGATTTTTAGTAGACACTATACACAGTTATTACTAAATGCTAAAAAAAAAACAAAAATATTTATTAAATACTTTCCGTGTTTCAGGTGGCTCCTCAAGTCGAATGTTTAGATTGAGGAGCCACTTTTACATTGATGTAACTTTGGATATATCTTACTACAAATTTTAGAATTTTTCCTATTAAATTAAGGCTCGGCTCAAATTTAAAATGTGGAACTTGGCTGGGCGACCAGCTAATGGTCGAATCTTTGATGAGATGTCGGAGGCGAGGAGACATTTTAAAGCCAAATTGAAATGGTGTCAGACTAGCCAAGAGCAATTTGAAATGGATATCCTTGCATCGAACCACTCATCTAAGGATTTTAAAAATTTTTGGAAACATACCAAAAAAAAAATGAACATTCGGTCTAGCCTCCCTATTAGTGTCGGTGGTTGCGCTGACCACAAGGACATTGCCGAGGCTTTTAGAGAGCACTTTACTGTGCGGTCTCCCTTGGGTCCCACGTCTGGTGAGGTGAGCGATGGTGAGCCCATTGTGATGGGGCGGAATAGAAAGATATCTGCAAAGAGTGTGGCTAACATTATTCAAAAAATGCAGCGTGGAAAATCACCTGGTCACGATGGGCTTAGTATCGAGCATCTTAAGTATGCGGGGGTTCATCTGCCCCAGGTACTTTCTATGTTTTACAGCCTGTGCATAGGTCACTCGTATTTGCCGGAGCCGCTTATGCGGACAATAGTCGTTCCTATAGTTAAAAACAAGACGGGAGATACATCTGATATAGGTAACTACCGGCCTATCTCGCTCGCTACCACAACAGCCAAGGTGCTTGACAGTTTGCTGAATAGTAGCCTCAACGAACAGGTTGAGTTGCACGATGCACAGTTCGGTTTCAGAGCAGGGGTCTCAACAGAGAGCGCTATTCTGAGTATGAAGCGAACTGTCGGGTACTACACAGCGAGGAGGACGCCGGTATATGCGTGTTTCCTTGACTTGTCAAAAGCTTTTGATTTGGTTGCCTATAATATACTGTGGGACAAGTTGAGGGATGCGGGTGTGCCGGCGAAGTACACCTCCCTCCTCAGATATTGGTACTCTAATCAAAGGAACCGAGTGAGATGGGTGGGTACTCTGTCGGGCGAGTACAGGCTGAAATGCGGAGTTAGACAGGGAGGATTAAGCTCGCCTCTGCTATTTAACATTTATATGAACCGGCTTATCGAGCGACTGAGCGGCACACATGTCGGCTGCCATATTGACGGAACCTGTGTTAATAATATAAGCTATGCAGACGATATGGTGCTGCTCAGTCCATCGATAAGTGGGTTGAAGAGGTTGATATCGATCTGTGAGGCCTATGCGGCGGAGCATGGCTTGATATACAACTCGAAAAAGAGTGTTCTACTCATATTTAAAGCGCCTAATCAGCAATCACGTATTGTTCCGCCCATAAGTCTTAATGACGTAGCGCTAAACACTGTAAATAGTTTTAGGTACCTGGGCCACATTGTCACGACCGACCTAAGGGACGATGGAGACATAGAGAGGGAGCGCAGGGCATTGTCTGTGAGGAGCAATATGCTTGCCCGCAGGTTTGCTCGTTGTGGCGAGGATGTCAAAGTAACCCTTTTTAGGGCGTTTTGTCAGTCTTTCTACGCGAGCGGCCTGTGGGTGTCATACACGCGACGGGCGTACAATGTCCTGCGTGTTCAATATAATAATGCGTTCAGGATGCTGTTGGGGCTGCCGCAGCGCTGTAGCGCATCAGGTATGTTCGCGGAGGCTCGCGTAGATGATTTCTACGCAATTATGCGAAAGAAAGCGGCTTCCTTACTCCAGCGCCTACATGACAGTGACAACAGCATTCTGAAAATGATCGCTGCCAGACCGGACTGCCCATTTCAGAAACAATGGGTGGGGACAGTCATAGGTCTATACAAATAGTTAATTTAAGTAAAAAAAAAATATGTAATTACTAATAATACTAACCTATCAACTTAAGCACTATTGTTACTAACACTAAAATACTAACATAAATATGGACCATAAGTCTGAAATAAACTTTATTATTATTATTATTATTATTATATTATTTGCTAACCTTGTAAAATCTAAAGTTTCTTGTTTAAAATCTAAACTGTAAAGTCTAAAGTTAAAATTCTAAAGTGGCTCAGCGCTCCGCCGCAAACCCCGGTAGGGTTTCCACACGTAGAATAAAAAAAGATTTGTTTCAAGTTTTCCTAATCTTTGCAGTGCAGACAAACTGCATTATAATCAATAATACTTTTTTTCATCGAAATCAAATGGTGTTTGCGGTTTATTTAGTTTATGATTCGTTTCCATTTTATCACACCACCCTGCCTATAAATTCGTCGTCGTCTATTTATCCATCCAAGGTTGCCTGAAGGAATTGATTTCTAAACTGGTGCACAATAAAGTTTACTCGTATTCTATTCTATTTTATGAAATGCATCCGTGCGGCCACTTGTTTACAAAGGTACAAGGAATTTACCTCACTTATTATATATTTCATCAAAAACATTACATATACAAAAAAAGTCGGGCAACACGGTTCTTCTGCCGTAAAAAGTTGTAAATTTGAATGTAAACCGTAAAACTTTTTAAGAGACAAGACTTTTTAAGTCGGTTAATTCAGCCCTCCGGCCACATTGGCAACTGAAATTCGCAACCAGTTACCAAAGTAGAAAAAATGGTCTGTCTACTCTTTCTTTTTTGGTCTTTCTATTTTTCTTTTTTCGCAACTACTAAAACTTGGTTAATAAGTACCTGGGTCACACTGAAAGTTTTTATAATAGGCCGGTAAGAAAAGCAGCCGATGAAAAATTTATTTAAATTTCGAATTAATTTAAAATAATTAATGGTAAATAATTGATGATTTCATATTGTGCCATTTGTTTTTACAACTTCGCGGCAATTTAAAATTGTCTGTCGTGTATCGAAATGGTTTAACTAGAGAACATTTTTGCTCAATGATTTATTACGACTTTCGTTACGGTCTTGTCAACAATAGGCTTGTGTCCACTAATAACAAATCGCTTGGTTTATAGTTTCAAATTATAAATGAAGAGACATAGATAAGAAAAAAACAGTCTATTTCTCATAAAAGTTAAAGATTGTAAATATTTAAAAAACATAAAGACGAACAAAATAGGCATTAAGTCACGTGACAGCGAACACCAATCAGAACTGTTACGTCACGCCACGTAAAACATCATTGTTTGTTGTTGACATTTTCATCCAACACAGCAGGTTACTCCTTGTTTTTCGTTTTCAGCATATTTTCTCACCTTAATACAGTTTCTTCGACATAATTATTAAAAGACAGTATATATAT